GAGCGCTCCCGGAGGCCTCCTAGGCCGTCTTGGAGGCCTCTTGGGCCGTCTTGGACGCGGTGAAAGCCCAAGATGCGAACATGCGAAAAAATACGTTTTCCCATGGGAATGGCACGATTTTTGTTTCTTGGATCTCTCTCGGGGTGCCTCTCGGAACGTCTTGGGGTGCTTTCGGGAGCCTTGTGGCGCCTCTTGGCGGCATTTTGGAGCCTCCTGGAGCCTCTTGGGCCGGAAGCTCGGAATTCGAGGTTGGCTTTCTCCGTCTGGGACCCCTCTCGAACTCGTCTTGGGGCTCTCTTGGGCCGTCTTGGGGCCGTCCTGAGCCACTCGCGCGCAGCCTTGGAGCGCTCCCGGAGGCCTCCTAGGCCGTCTTGGAGGCCTCTTGGGCCGTCTTGGACGCGGTGAAAGCCCAAGATGCGAACATGCGAAAAATATACGTTTTTCCCATAGGAGTGGCACGATGTTTGCTTCTTGGGCCTCTCTTGGGCTGCCTCTCGGAGCGTCTTGGAGGCTTCTGGGGCCGTCTTGGTGTCATGACAGGCGTCTTGGAAGGCATCTGGAGCCATCGGAGCGCGTTCCGAAGCCGCCTGCGAACGATCTTGGACGGCGCCCAGCGGTCCGACGAGCCTCCGGGCCCCACGGGGCCCACATTTGCGGTCGAGGTCCCGGCCCCGGGCCCCCGGACCCGGTGCGCCGTTATATATATATATATATATATATATATATATATATATATATATATATATATATATACATATATATATATATATGTCCCCCGCGCCCCGCTCGTCGCCTGCGCGCCGATCCTGAGCGGCCGAGGTGCATGGCGCGAAGCGCCACCTCAACCTTTGTCTCGCGGCAGCTTCCCGGTGCGAGCCCGCGTCTGGCGCGAGCGATCTCAGCGACGAGCGCGAGCTCGCCGCGCGCGACGACTCTGCCCCAATGCAAAATCAATTCCAAACGATCTGGTAGCATCGGCGGCTGCTAAAGGAAATCTCGGGACGATAAGCCTACCGAGCTTTTTCGCCAACGCAGCCGGCGACGCGAAAGACGCCGGCTGCTTTGTCCTCGGCGAGCTGGACGCCAAGCCGCGTAGAAAACAAAACGCATGTTTAAGATATTGCGCTGCTCCTCGAAGATCGGCGATCCCCCTTGTTCGTCGCCATGCGCCGACATCGTGTCATCGCCGGCACACGGACGCAAGTAGATGCCTGGACCTCGATCCGAAATCTAGTTGACCCCGAACATGCTATAGCCAATATAAAAAAGTGAAACGTCACACTTTGGTGGGGCGCCCTCTGCAAATCAAGAAAAACAGAGGGCAGCGACGGGCGCAGAGAGGTAGAGTGCGGGGAGCACGCCCCGGGTTCAACGACGTCTTGGCTACGACTAAGTGGATGCGCATTCAAATAGATCACACGGTCACGAGTTCACGTTAGCACGGAAGTCCCATGACATGTCATGCCACCCCGGCCGAAGCCAGCTGTCACCTTTCCTTCTTTCTGCACCAGCCTCCTCAGCACGAACGCCCTGCGTCCAAACCGAACCCTCCGCAGACCGCCTGGCCCCGAAAGACCAGCGGGGCCTCGCGGGGGGGAAGGGGGGGGGCCAGAGACCAGAGGGCCCCCCCCCGCTTCATCTTTGAGCAAGTCGTCTGGAGGGCAAGTAGAAGGTGAGAGGGGGGGGGGGGGGGGGGCGAACAACTGTCGGATGTCAGCGCTTCTGGATCACAGCGAACCTGCGCGTGATCTGCGCAGCGCCATCTAAGACCCCGAGGCTGCCAGTCGCCCCGAGACCCCATGGGCGAGCCGTCCCAGTCCGTGACCGCCTCGGCGAAGTCCCCGTGAAGATCCCCCAAGAAACTTTGTGTCGCTCTACCCGCTCTCCCCCGCTGAAACTGAACTCCTGCCGCCGAGTTGGCGGGCTCCGCATCGAGCGAAGCGCGGTGTCGAGGCGTGGCGAAAGCCCCTCGCTGCGGCAGGAATGCAGCTGCGCGCGCGACCATGCCCCTTGCCCCCTCGCCGCGGGGTCCTGAAGGACAGCAACAACTCGTTGAATGCCTGGCGCAGCCACTTCCAAACCGTCAGAACTTGAAACTTGTCGCCCGCGTCTTTGGGCCCGCAGAAGACCAGCACCCGCGGCGCTTCCATGGTCCTGGATCGTTCTCCAAACCCTTTGAGCTCATCCCCCAGGTTTCGAGCGCGTTTCCTGTCGGCGCAAGCAATGAAGTGGGCATGCCTGGCTGAGTGCGCGCCGGGCCGAGGCGGCGGAATCGTGGACTGCGCGCCCAAGGGCCTGCGCAGCATGGGCGAAGGCACCGCCCCAGACCACAGGCATGGGAACAGGGCGAACAGAAAAATTTACTGGGAGTGGCCGATGAGCGCGGCAAATTAGCCGGCGGAAGCGAAAAGCATTTGAATTGATCACTACTGCCACACGCCCGTGCGGTTTCACTTCCCAAATCATGTCCGCGACGACCCCCGCTATCAATCTTACCAGTCCAAGCCCAAACGCGTGGTAGCCAACGACACCGATGCTATTCGGCGTGCGGCAAATGTGCGCAGGCGGACTCATGATAGTCATGCCGCGTTTACGGGGGATCCCCGAATGCTCAAGCACTTGAGAAGAATGTTCCAATCACCAGATGACAAGGTGCGCGCAAGAGATCATGTACAGCTTTGCCAAAACGCCGGATGATACCGATGTTGGCCTCGCTGGGCCCTCCGCAGAGCGTAAAAACACAGAGAAAACACGAGCACGTAAACCATCCTGGGAGGTCCACGTGCAAGCGGAGCACCCTGTGGGGAACTATCGGAGAATAACCTTCGGTAGGCCAACGGAAACCAACAGCAAAACTTGCAAAGATCGCCCGGTCGACAACTTCCTGGGCTCAGGCCTGACGATGGAGGAGGCGAGCAGAAAATGCCAACCGAGGCTACGAGCTGCGACCGTTGCCCGGCCAACACAAAAATCTGATATCCCAATCTTTTGTGCACAAATGATCATGGCAGCCGGCTTCTTGGGTCGTCGGCGCAAAATCGCCCGGCACAAGCTATTGAACATCCCGGTCTTATAAAGATCCATAACCGCCTGCAAGCTGGGCTCGCCTTTCACTTGCGGAACTGGAAGACCTGACGAGGTCAGCGGGACACCCGAGACCACAAGCACAGGTAAGCCGCAAGCTCCGTCACCTCAAACGCTGCTTTTTTTGAACGTATGCTAATAGACCACAGATTCAAGCAGGTCAGCCAACTCTTGCGCCTGATCTCCCCCTTCTTTTCTAGAAGCCACAAACCACTGCCTAACGCTCTCCTCTCGAAGGCCCTCCATGTCAACATCGTCACCTCCTGCATGCACATCTCCAAGGACCCCACAAGCGACGGTATGTGCAGCCCGGCCTGGAACGTGGCCAGGAGCAGGAAGTGGACGTAGGGGTGCCCGAGCTTGCTTCTGCTGATGCTGGTCCTTAGCAAGCTCCTTGTACTTCTGGAAGACAAGAATATCCACCATGGCCTTGATCTCGGCGGCACTATCCTTCGCAAGCTGCTCCTGTCAACTGGAGTTTCAGGTGCCACTGCCCGCACAGTCGCTAGCAGTTCAACCTGAAGACCCTCGATGTTGACCTTCGCGGCCTGATTGTCCTGCAGGTCCTCGAGGACCTGTAGCGCATCATCCACGACGTTGGCCATTGATGTCCGAGTGGCCCTTCTCGAACTGCAGCGTGCACCTCGCCAACTTGCGCCCGACTGCCGTATGACAAGAGAGCATCGGCGTCTTATCCGGAGCGAGTTCCATGGCGGCGCAAGGCTCTGCCTGGAGTCCACCACGCACGATGGTGTCGCCGCACTTCTGTACCGACTGGAGGGCCTTCTCAAAGTACTGGACGCGCTCACGAAGCTATTTTCCATCATCACCATCATCATCAGCATCATCATCAGCATACTCATCGAGCTTGTCCTTCTCGGACTGACCTCCATCGCCACCACAGACCACCGACGGGGAGCAGGACTTGTTGAGCATCTTCTTGCGCTGCTCCAGTATGAGATTTTCTCTAAGAAGGCGAGCTGGGCAGAGACATCCACACGCTTGGGAGGTCCCTGAACCCACGCACCGCGAGGCCCGCGTTAAACACCCTCGCCACCACCGCCACCAGGAGCAGCAGCTTGAGCAGCACAGCGTGCCTTCGCGATTATCCAGGCAGGGCCATCCTGCCACACAAGCATCTGATGCAGCTCGCATGATTCTGATTGCGTCCACAGTTGGGGCGGCCCCACCTTGGCTCACGTGGTCCTGGAAGGACGGCGGGTCCATCAGCTCTCTGTGCCATGCGCCTCCCAGCAACACACCTGGGCACGGATGGTTGCCCCCGCAGGGGCAGAAAGGCGAAGAAGTAGCTCCGAAGAGAAAAAACGAAGAGCCAGCTAGCTCGCAACAGCACCTGGCCGTTCTGAATAAGCATGCTCTTGCAAGCTCGGGCAAATGCCTGAGCCAGAACGGCTAGGAGGGGCAGGAAGAGGAGCAAGGAGGAAGAGGAGGAGAGGAGGAGACTCGTTGCGCTGCGGATTCAAAACGAAGACCCCACACACAGGAGGCTTGGGAATGAAGACGAGAAATGATATGCGGAGGGAGGAGAAAGAGGACGAGAAACAACCATGGTGGCTTTAATACGTGGGTCAATGCGGAACCCATCAGTGGGCCAGCATGTGGCGTGGGAGCAGCGGTAGGGGGGGCAGTTCGGGCAACTCTTCTAACATCTACTCATTCCCAATCGCATCCTCCACTTCCCCCTCGTCGTCATCCCCATCTTCCCTCCCCTTTCCCTCATCTCCCTCCACCTCGTCTTCCTTCCCCCTGGTCCCCAGAATCTGCTACCTTCTGGAAACCCAAGACACCTCTGAAACCACCATCATTCTCGTCATTCTTTCCTCTCATCCTCCACCTCGTCATAACCTCATCCCTGCAAACTCTGTCACGTTGGCCCTCGCGCTTCCCCGTGCCGCCTGTCGCAATTGAGATTGCTGTCGCCGTCTGGGGGCAGGTAGACCTGGGCGGCCCCGTTCCAATACGTCGGGCTGAGGTAGCACACGCCCTCTCCGTCCTCAGAGGAAGGGGCGCCATCACAAAGACAAACGCAGAAATCAACCAAGGGGCGGCCCGTGACGGAAACGGCGGTGGCGTCGTGGCGCCAGAACGCAGAAATGAGTTCAGGAAGACATCATTGTACGCCGGAGCCAGTCCGGGGAGCCGGTCCGGTGAACATAACTCGGAGGACTCCAGGTCGGGAGCTTGAAAAGAAGGAAGGCAAAGGGGATCGTGTCGAGGCGTGGTGGAGGCCTGAAGAGGCGCAAGGGAAGAAGGGAGGCAGGGAAGGAGGATGACGAGGAGGGAGAGATGAGGGAGGGAGGGAGGAAACCGACGGAGGTGGCAGAGGGAGGAGCAGGAGGGAGGAATTACGTAGCACCCTGCATTTACGGATGAGAGTGAGGGGGCGGAGGCGCGGGCGAAGCCTGACGCCCCCAAACGTGGCCCCCATACGTGGCCCCTAGAATCCGACCCTCCAAATCTTGCAACGCGCGCGCAGAGCGCAGCTCCGAGCGTGGAGCTCAAGACCTGCCCCGCCACAGCCCAGAACATGACCGAAGGAGCCACGATTGGGAGAGCTGCGAGGAACGCGGGGGCTCGTGGGAGGACACTGCGCACCCCTTTGAGACCGAGCGAGGCCACAGGCGAATGACAACGCGCTAGCCATTCAAAGTCGAGAATGAGAAGCCACATGGGGACGCAGAGTTGCACGAGGCCCCCGAGGCGCATGCGGTGCAAGAGCGGAGGTGCTGGTCGAAGTAAAGCTCGGCTGAGCTGGTGTACTGACCTCTTGGGGGCTCTGGGGCAGCGCCCGATAGGAGGTCCTCCTAGTCGTGGTGGAATGGGTGGTGGTGGGGGTCACCGTGGTGGCGGTGGTGGCTGGTGTAGTGGTTGTGGTCGCGGTAGTCGCCCTGGTTCGCGCTCGTACGCGTCGTGATTGTCTTGGTCGGGTTGTTCAGTATGGTGCTGGTCAGCGTGGTATTGGACAGTGTGGTGCTGGCCATGCACGTGCAGGTCAGCGTAGTGTTGGTAGGTGTGGCGCTGGTCAGCGTGGTCCTGCTCATTGTGGTACTGCTCAGTGTGGTAATGCTGGTCAGCGTGGTGCTGCTCTGTGTGGTAGTGCTGCTCAGTGTGAGACTGGTCAGTGTTTTGTTTCTCGGTGTGGTAGTCTTGGTCAGTGTGGTGCTTGCTCCGCTCGTGATGGTGCTTTTTTGTGGTGCTGGTAAGTGTGGCGCTGGTCAGTGTGGCGCTGCTCTGTGTGGTACTGCTCAGTGTGGTAGTGCTGCTCAGTGTCGTTGTGCGGGTCCTTGTGGTAGTGCTGGTCAGCGTAGCGCTGCTCAGTGTGGTGGTGCTGGTCAGTGTGGTGCTGGTCAGCGTGGTGCTGGCTCCGATCGTGGCAGTGCTGATCAGCGTGGTGCCGCCCACGTTCTTGCTCACCGTCGTGATCGTGCTGTTCGCTGCATGGCGTCAGAAGCCGACGCCCGAGCTGACGTCGGGAGCGTCGTTCTGAACGGCCGTGAGGCTGCCGTCGGGACCAACGTCGGAGCCGCCGCCCGTGTCGTTGTCCGAGCCGGCACTGGGGACGCTCAGGGCCAGCGTCGGGAACCTCGTCGACGCCGCTTCCGGGGCTGCCACCAGAGCTGCTGTCGAAACCGGCGCCGTAGATGCCGTCAGAATCGGCATCGGCTGCTACGCTGGAGCCAGCCTCGTGGTCGCGGCTGGAGCTGGTGTCGAGCAAGTGGAGCAATTGGAAGAACAGCCGTCGACGATGGTGATAGGGCCGCCTGCGGAGTAGCAGTAGGATTTGGCGCTGAGGTCGACGCCAGAGCAAGTGTCGGCGAGGGCGTTGTAGCTGGCGTCACGGCCGCCGTCGAGGCTGGTGTCGAAGCTGGCGGTGAGAGTGCCGTCGGAGCTGGTGTCTGTGGAGGTCGACGTCGCGGGTGCTGGGAGAGAAGAGCGGTAGTCGACGTGGTGGTACTGGCGTCGCTGGTCGTGGTCGTGGTTGTGATCGCGGGCGTGGCCGTGGTCGTCGTAGGAGTGCTCGCGATCGTGGCCCTGGACGTGGTCATAATGGAGGTCGTGGAAGTTGGCGTGGAAGTGGGCGCGGCCCTGGTCGTGCAAGCAGAGATTGGACTGGCCGCATTCGCAGGTTGCCCCCGTATGACATCTCGTCTGCGTGGGGACTGCGCCACCCAGGTAGATGTCCACCAACAATTTACGATCACGAGTGAGCCGTTTAAAGACATACTTGAAGTGATAACGAGAGTTCAAATCTCCATCAACTTATTCGATACCTTCTGTGTCCTGGCGAATGGTCCGCAAATTTGGAAATATCGAACTCTGGCCACTGCCCTGAGAGCGTATTCAGCAGCTCCACGGGCGGTAGTCCTGAATCCCACCAGCCCTCTGGGCGCAGGGGCCAAAAACCCTTCTTCCCTTCGGGGAGGGGTACCCTCCCCCTCCCCTCCCACAGGTTTTTTGGGAGGTCGCGAGGTGTCAGAGGGTCCTTTTTCGCCCAAGATCGCTCCAAGAGGGCCCCCGATGCTCCAGGATGGCCTCCAAGATAGCTCAAGATAGCACAAGATCGCTGAAGATGACCTCATCGTGCCTCCAAGAGGCTCCAAGAGGGCCACAAAGACAGTGTTAGGTGCTTTTGGAGAATCCCCTCAGGACCTCCCCGAGAAGCCAAATTCCTTAAACTACCTGAGGAACATGAACTTGCTTTGCCGTCTCGCCTTTTCGCCCCCGATGCGCTGTCCAGGCCTCAAAATGGCCCCAAGATGGCCCACGGGAGCTCCAAGAGGGTCCCAGGAGGCCCGCAAAGACGGCCCCAAGACCGCCCAGTATCGCCCCAAGAGAGGCCCGCCCCAAGAGGTCATGTTTAGGCCTCTTCAGGGGGGGGGGCCTCGATAAAGAACCCCATCTGTTTGATCGATGGCCTTCAAGATGGCCCCAGGAGGCCCTCCGAAGCTCCCAGGAGAGCTCCAAGAGAGCCCCAAGAGGGCTCCAAGACCCCCCAACAGAGATCCAAGAGGACCCCAAGGCCCCCTAAAAGAGCTTTAACAAGGCTCCACGAGGCGATGTTTGAAGATTCCCGAGGGGGGGGGGGCGGGCGAAATCGGAGACCCCACATCCTTCGATCCATGCTATGCAAAACTGCCCCAAATCGCTCTCTAAGCTAGAAAATTCCCTAGAGGGCTTCCAGACGCAATACCCGACACAAGAGCCCCCAGAGAACCACAAGACCTTCGAAACAAGCCCCAAGAGGCCCCCAAAGGACCCCGAAGGAGCACCAATACAAGCAGCGCCAGCAGCAGCACCAGCAGCAGCAGCAGCGCCAGCAGCATCAACACCAGCAACAGCCGCACCATCACCGGCATTAGCGCCAGCACCAGCAGCAGCACCACAACGAGCAACAACATCCACACCAATAGCACCATCAGCACCGCTGGCATCAGCAACACCAACGAGCAGCTCTAGCACCAGAAAATCTCCAAGAGAGCTCCCAGATGCAAGACCCGACCAAAGAGCTCCAAGAGGACCACAAGACCTTCGAAACAAGCCCGAAGATAGACGGTCTTCTTCCCTACACTAGCTGCTTTAGGATGGGCTGGTGGGGAGCGCAAACGGAAGGGCCGCGCGCCGACCAAGGCTGGTGGGGATTCTTTTTCTCCGCGGCCGCAGGCGAGAGCGCCGACGGCGAGTAGCTGGTGGGGACTCGCGAAGCGTCAACAATTGGCTGTTGGCACTTCGCACACAGAAACAGGAACCGAGCAGGGGTGGTGTCGGGCTGGAAGCCGAGCTGCTCGTCCAGCACGGTCCCCTAGCGTTTGTGCACGACCTTGGAAGGTAGCGCATTTGAAACATGCTCCTGCATGGCAGTACGGCGCGGGAAGCCGAACTGTGGCGACTTCCCGAGCCCCTGGAACACCCTGTCCTGAGCCTCATCAATCACAAGGACCATGGACTCGGCGGCGGCGACCGCGACCTTGGCCTGCTTCCTGGACTAAGGCCCCCTGGGGCCGCGAGGTCGGCAGAACCACTCTCGCGCGGTTGCTGCCAACGGTGTCGCGCATGGGAGAGCGCGCTCCGAAGGCGACTGGAGGCAGTCTGGGAATAAATGGAGGCCCCCTGCTTGCGTTCCCAGCGAAAGGGACCAGGCTGTTTCCCGCTGGCAGGCTCTTCGGATCGGGGGAGAACACGCATGGGCAAGTCACCGACTCCACTGACCCAGTGCCATGCTCCCCTGGATCCCTTTGCCCCAACCTGTCTGACTCCCCCCCGCCCAAAATCAAGGAATCCCGCTGTCCTGCGTCGCGTCCTCCGTGGCGTCGCACCAGTACATCGTGCATGCACTCGAGATGGTATCGTCGAACTCACCGACGTACTTAATCACCCTCTGCGTAGGACAGACTGCCCATCCCGCTTGTTATCCACCTCTCGTTTGTCTGTTGCTGCTCCTCGGTTCCATGTTCTCCTCGTCATGGCCGTCGTCGCACACCTCCTATTCCCCCCCTTCCCCCCCTTCGTTCTCAGCCCTCTCCCTCCTCATCCTGCCCCACCAGTGCCGTGCGTGGGTGGGGTTGTCGGCAGTCTGCGAGGCTGGAAAGCAAGTTTGAAGAAGCCCACCGCAGGCGCCGATTGATTGCACGTTACACAACGAGACCGCCGCAAGCGCCGACATTTTGTGAAAGCAATGCGGGTGGGTCGCGGGTGGGTCGTGGACGGGTCGTGGGTTGGTCGCGGGTTACGTGCGGATCCGTCGCGGGTGGGGCGCGGGCGGGTCGCGGACGGATTGCTGGGCGAGGGCTGCGACAACACAACAGCAGCACAACAACAATGACACGCACCCCGGAAGCCCACTTCAGGCATAAACCAAGGGGTACTGCAAAACCACTCGGCCCTAACACTGATAGTTATATCTGCCTGCCCTCTTCGCAAAAGAAGAGCTGAAACGCATTGGATACACAAACGCTTACACACATGATTACACGTATGCGCACGTGTGCATGTACACACATTGCATTCAAACGTAAACAGTGGTCACATTACATGCGCGTGTACATGCACACATACGAAACATATACTCTAAGGGCGTGCCATGCTCATGCAGCGCTATGCCACACAGTCTCACGGTTTACACCCGCCTCAGAAATGCATGCCCCATAGACAGCGAGTGCTGCAGCATCATGCGGGGAGGCCCGAGACATGAAAATCCGCCGACCCTGTCGGCGTGTGTGTGGGGGGGCTTGTCTGTTCGAGTCGTCGCCTCCGTCAATCGTCGTCTCCGTCGTCCCCTTTCCCTGCACCTTCCTGCTCAAGCATCTCAGCGAGAGAAAAAACTAGCAATGTCGGAATCGAGTCGAAGGGAAGCCCCTTCCCTTTGATCCCCTGGCCGTCGGGGGGGGGCCGGGGGGGTCCCAGGGGGGGGGTTAAGGGGTCAGAATACGCATTCCCCTCTGGAGGTCCCGGGGCCTCAGGAAATGCACCAAGACAGGCCACGAGTGCCCCAAGAGGGTCCAAGAGGGCATCCAATCGCCAAACGATGGGTCGAAAAAAACTCTCACGCCCGCCAGACTGTCCAATAGTCCTCCACCAAGAAGCCTCCAAGAGCACTCCCGAGAGGGCCCCAAAATGCACAATTAATTGATGCTCCTGTTTTTATACCAAAAATGTTTGGCGGAATCGCCTACTCCTCTTCCCGCCGCTCCAGACGGCCCAAGAGGCCCCCAAGATCGCCCCAGACGGCCCAAGAGGCCTCCAAACCAGCCCAAGAGAACCAAAGCCAGCCCAACACGCCTCCAAGACGGCCCAAGAGGCCCCGAAGGCAGCTCCAAGAGCGTTCCCAAACAGGGGGTCCGAATTCCGAACGGAAATTTTGAGCCCTCGGTCCCGAGAGGCTCCCAGGATGCCCCAAGAGGTTTCCAAGAGGCCCCAGGAGGCCAACGAGGGGTCCCCAGGAAGCCCGACGAGGCCCCAAAGAGGCTCCCAATAGACCCCGTGAGGTTCCCAAGAGACCCCAGAACTCCTCCCCAGAGGCCCCCGAGAGCCTTCCGAAGAGACCCCAAAATGATCCTGAGAACTCTGTCCCACGTCAGCGTCGTCGTCGTCGCCGCCGCCGTTGTCGTCGTCGTCTCTCTTCAGGATCGACGGCACCGGCCACATGGCCTTCGCAATAAGCATTTTTCCTAGAGATTGCGCTTTCTCTCCCTCTCTCTCTCTTTCCCTCTCTCTCTCTCTCTTTGGACAGGGAAGATGGGGCTCACCGCTCCAATGGCAACCGGGGCCCGCGACAAGGACATCCTGCGGCAGCCAGAGGGGCGCGGAGCCACGACAAGCGCTGGGAGACCGGCAGCAAGGGGGACATGCTCACAGAGACCCCTCGTGGAGCACCGAGGACAACGCCGAGCCCGCAGAGGGCCGGGCCCATGGGCGGCAACGAGGGGAACGGGCCCTCGCGTGCCAGCGCGCGTCATGGGTCATGGGGTGCGCCCACGCGCGCAAACGGGCCAGCGGGGGACCCGCGTCGGGGAGGGGTAGAGGGGGCATGGGGGGCAACTAATGCGCTAGGTGTGATAAAGACAACTCTTCGGCTTGGTTCCCAGGCGCGGCTCGTGACTAGACCATACTTGGGTGCTGTCTGGCATCCCCTGAGCTTCTCAGCCTCGTGATAGAAAATCAAATCGGACCATGGGCAAAAACAACAAAACATCACACATACAAACACTTAATTACAAACCCGCGCGCCGGGAGAAGGCGCGGACCGGCAGTGAGCCTACGCAGGGCTACTTCAATTCACATGGCCACCAGCCTGAGAAAGGCAAGGTCCATGGGTGAAAATCTGTTCCCGGACGGTGCGGTGCAATTTACCCTCCCCCCGATGTGCCGCCTGGATCTGGGAGGGTGGGTTTTATTGTTTTCTCTTGTAAAACATTTCCCTCACCTCTCGTCGGTGCCGGGGGGCAGGCGGCGGGAGTGGACGCGTTGGCTGGTTGGCTGGTTGGCGGGATGGCTGGTTGGGCTGGTTGGCTGACAGGTTGGCTGGGTGGCTGGTTGGGTTGCTTGGCTGGTTGGTTTGGCTAGCTGAGCTGGCTAGGGCAATTGGTTTCGACATTGCAGGCGCTCGGGGCCGCATATGCTGATGTTGGCTGGAATGGAACTGGCGGCACCCCGAGAAAGACCACAGCCCCGCTGGGGTGGCCTGGTGCGCCTGGTGGCAACAAGGCCTCGCATCCAACCGAAACGCCCGGCCAAATCCGGTATTCGGCGCGGCGCATGCGCTGCCGTGGCGGAGGGCGAGGCTGGTGACGCCGCTTTCGCTTCTTGGAGCTTGTGAAACCCTGTGGGCGGCCGCAAGGCGCCCCACGACCGCGTCGAGATGGCTGCAGTATATACCAAGACAAAATTTAATACGGCCCGACGACCTCTCAGAGACTCCAGGGTGCCCCTAGGGCCCCCCCCAAAGCCTCAGTTTGGCGCCCATACGGCTCTCTAGAAAGGATCTGGGACGCCCAAGCTTTGGATGTCATACTTGCGTTGGCTTCCCAATCTGCTCTGCCCACTGTGGCCTTCAGATCTCCAGCCGCAAGACGGCCCCCTTAGGCCACAACGAGCACACAAAACGGCCCCAAACTGACCCGAGGACAGCCGCAAGAGGGCAAACGAACCCGTCAAGACAACCCAGGGGCGCAGCCTGTGGCACCCAGGCACCCATACGTTCCTCTACCTTCAGGCGCAACCTGTGGGCGCAACCTGTGGCCAACCCATGGGCGTAGCATACGGCACGCAGAAGTTATGCGGCCCTCAGGCGCAGCCCCTCAATGCAGCATGTGGCGCAACCTGAAAGACATGGCGCACTCAGGCGTTCCTGGACTCGCATGCGCAGTGCTTGGGAGACAAAGTAATGAACCAGGGGTGGAAGCATGGAAGCATTGCCTGTGTGGTGCCTGGGCCAGGGTGCGTCTTCATAGACGGTAGTATATGCTTCCTGCCTGGGCGCGCAGGATTGAACGTGTGCAATATGTGCGATGCCAGGCCCATCCAATCACCGCAAGCAATGCAGAGCAACGCAGAGAAATGCAGACAAGCAAAGGCAAAGCAGCGACAAGCAAAGGCAACGCAGCGAAGCGCATAGCGAAGCAACGCTATTGAGGTAGTGAAAACCAGAGCGAGCCAAAAATCTGCAACGCCATGCAACCAATCGAACCATAATCGAACCAATCTGCACGGGATTTCAAGCGATGCGAGGGCCTGCATAGAAGTGCAGATAAATACCAAGCACCTTGCGACAGAACGCGATGATACGCTATGCACACCAAAGCAACGCAATGACGACAAACGCCATTGCAACACATAAGAAACATACGAACGCCTGGAACCGACACATCTGCGCTGGCGTCCAGTAATTTGCGCGCGCGGTCCATGGCACCCACACATCCGCGCGTGACCCATGACGCAGCCTGTGGGGTGCAACCTCTGGCACTCACATGCTTGCGTGGGGCCATACGAACCTCTGCACAGACGGGGGCAGAACCCCAAAGTGCAGGCACTGGCTTGGTTGGGCAGCAAGCATCGCACGCGATCTCGACCAACCTCGGCAGAAGCCTGGACACTGCACGCCCGCTGGGCCACGGGCATCGGCCGACCGAGCAGACCCGACAGGAACACGTTCACAGCAGCTCCCTGCGCATGGAGCTCGGTATGGGATGACCCCCTGACGGACCGAGGGTAAGCGCGCGAAGCACGGGCAACGCAATTCTCGCCCAACTTTAGAGGAATATGCAATGGCATAGACATAACAACTCTGAGGTCCGCGCGGATTTCTTGGTTTGGCGCATGCGTCAGAGCTCAGATCCAAGAAATCCGCGCGGACATCCGAAAGTTTATGGTTCTGCACTTGTTCTTCATCGGCGAAGGTCAGCAAGCGAAGAACGGCCAACCCACTCCTCGCCCAGACTCCGAATCGGAAGCATTCGGTGGCAACTCATGGCAGCCTCATCTTTTGGTTGACCCAGAAGGGGGTCCAGCTGAAAGGGGGTGGTGCAACAGGTTTGGGGCAATTGCATGTTCAAATGTATTGCGCCAGAGAGCTGTATTACATTGTACTGCACCTAACGTATTGCACGCGAAAGCCCAGCAATACATTTGCGCACCGGAATGTATTGCACGCCCCAAGTCTGTTGCAACCGTACACACCAAATCTATTGCACCACCCTCTTGTCGCTGGACCCCCTGTTGGGTCAACCAGACTCCCACCGTGTTGGCCAACGGTCTTCGGTGCTAGTCGACGGTGGTCGACGCTAAACCGACGCTAATCGACGCCAGTGGACGCTGATGCGGCAATATCTCGTGGATTACCAGACGCTGCTCGACGCGAAAGACGGACTGAACAGGGTGTACAAGCCTCCCATGATTTGCTACTGAAGGAATCGGGAGCCTCAGGCCCGCCTCTGAACCTTGCGAATCGGAAGCCCCAGGCCCGCCTCCGGACCACTCCTGCTCTACCTCGCCCACCGTCTCGAAGGCCTCGATGATTCGCTTCCCCTCGACCTGGGATTGGGGGCGGCGCTCGGCCGAGAGGTGGCCAAGAAGGAGGTGAAGGGGCCCAGGGAGACGCACATACATCGGCACAAATCCCAGTCCCACTATTTTTCTGTACTTCCTGGGTGCTCGTCCTCCCCTCCGATTCCCATATGATGATATGTTCCAAGCTTCTCATTGGCAAAACCGCCTTTTCTTTGCGTCTGTGTCACGGGGAGGACATGCTGTTCCTACCCCTGTCTGCTCCGCGAGTTGACCAATCAGGCGGCTGCACGGCATTGTCAGCAAGCAGCCGTCTCAGCCCAACATGCTGCCGATGCCGATCCAGCTCCACCGATCCCTGGCCCTAAAGGTGCAGAGGAGAGAGGGAGGAAGAGGAGGGAGGGTCCGTCGTTCTCTCCGTTCTACTTCGGCTCCTCCTCCCAAATTGCTGCCCATCCTATAACATCCTTCGTCGTCCTCCTCGTCGTATGGAGGAAGGATCAGCAGGCAAAGGAAGGGGGCCCTGACTATTAGGGACGGACCAATGCACCACCAGGACCCTCTGCGAGATGGCAAGCCAATGCCCCACCTGGGACACCAGAAGGCGATCAGGCAACTCGCTCATACCCCAGCATGCGAATGCCAGGCAATTGAGCTCCCTCTGCTCAGCCCCAAACGCGACGAAGTCCTACCTAAGGGAGGAGGGGGCGGGATCAGGAAGAATTCTGCAAACAGATACTAGCAGAGGACGCAGGGAGGAGGGCGAGCGTGACCGAAGAGAACCTTTACTGGGGCAGCGCCAAAGGGAATCACTACTAGAGATCCCCACCTCAAGGTAAGGCCAACCCTGGACCCCCCCGAACTTCTACAGACGCCCAAACAACGGTCTAGACCTTCTTGATCCTCGATCCTCCCGCCTCCTCCTGCTCCTCCTCCACCTCCACCTCCTCCTCCTTCTCGACTCTCGCTGTCCAGGAAGATTTGGTGACACTCCTACTAGTGATCCCCTTGGCACTGCCCGACCAATGCCTGTCACCGACCCCGACCTGGTTGTGGTCGTCCGGAAAGAGCGCCGGCACGGACTCCTGCAGTTCTGCGCTGATGATAACGCCGACAGCGAACATGATTGCCAAACACAAGCTGATAGCCTCCCGTCACCGCCGGGCTCTCCTTTCCACCGTCTGCCCCCTTCTCCCGACTTCCATCTTCTGTTATTGGCCGAATCCTAACCCTGTCCTGTCCTCCGCCCCCGTTGCTCCCTTCTCTTCCTCCTCGGCCCTCCGCCCTCGGCCAATGCGCCTCTCCCGCACACTTCTTTTCCTGCTGACTACTTATCCTCTCCATCCTCCTCCTCCTCCTCCTCCTCCTCCTCCTCCTCCTCCTCCTGGCTCCTGCTCTTCCAGTTGTCCTTGCCCGATCACTCGCCCCCCCCCGCGGGAACCATTACTGACAGCGAGCAGTTCGCGATCCAACCCACATGCTTGAAGAACAGCATCTCCAATACTGGCTTGCGGTCCTGTTGGCACTCCTCCGATGCGGTCATCCCGCCTTTTCCAATCTCCCCTCCCCTCTTCCTTTCCCCCATCCCATCCCCTCTCAATCCCTTCCCACCTCCAGTCCAACCCGTCCCATCTCACTCCCCCCTCTCCTTCGTTCACCTTCCCCCCTCCGCCCGCTCACGTGTTTACCCCTGGCCCTCTCCCCTGCACCCCTGCTCCCGCCCCCAAGAAGACCCGCATGGCAAACAACACGAGCGAGCACTCAAAGTGGAACCCTGGTGACGCCCCCGAGGAGTCCCCCCTCTCCCTCCGCACTCTCCTCCCTTCTACAGGCTCGAACCATCGCCGCGGCCCTTTCGCCCCCACGTCGGCTTGGCGCGGTCCGCACCGGTGGCCGCGAGTGCTCACGAGACTCACCAGCCGCAAGGCCACTTGACCGTTCGACAGGGTATGGCAGAAGAACAGTGATTGCGCGTCTGGGCTATGCTACTCGCGTTCGCAAGCCACCTCGTATGGCCAAAGCTGCCGCCTTGGTGGCTACGGCTGATCTTCGGCTTCCAGGTCGTCATGGTCTTCCTCATATCCAGAATGCACGGACTGCGCGCCTCCTGAAAGCTGACCCCCACGGGCAGAGTCCGGTCATGTGCTGCCGACGCCGCCGCCGCCGGACGTTGGCGTTCTCGACGTTCCTCTGGCGCGTCTCCGTGAGTCACAGAGCAGCCGCTGGACCCTTCTTGGTGCTGCTTACCAACAGTGCTGCCGCCGCAAGACTGCGATCCTGGGTATGGGTCTTTTCTGGTACTGCTGGCGCTGTTCTGACATGATGGCCTACGTTACCGTCTTCGACGCCTTCAGGGTGCCGCTGCTCAGCCTTGCGCTGCATCGCCGACGTCTCCGTCGTGTCCGATGCCGTCGTGTCCGCTGCAGCCGCACAGCGTGCCGCCACCACTACATGACGTCCATGGCCACTGCGAGCTAGAACGCGCCGCTGCTGCCGCCCAGTCCAACGACCTGCCGAGAGGAAGATCATACAGCGGACCGAGCCTGGTCCCAGGAAGCACCCCTGTTGCAGCAGTGTGGAAAAGGAAGGGGCTGGGTGGTGAGGGCTGGCCAGGACCGACGTCCTTCTGGCTGACACGAGACGAGGCCCACCTTGCGCGGGAGGAGCGTCGGCTTGCGGCTCCCCTGGATGCTGGAGCTCGCGTTCCTCGAAATTCTGCTGACACTCCTCGCGCCGGTGCCACCGAGCGTGTCCTTCCTGGTGCTCCTCCTCTGGAGGCGCAACTGCACGAGGCCATCGTCTTGCCTGTGGCAGTGCCAGGCCCCGTGCCAGCGGCTGCGGCGAGCAGAGTAGACTCGGATTCCAGCCACCCTCTCTTATGCCCACTTCCCCGCTGCGCTCGACAACATCCTCGTCTGGCCTGCTGCCGACGCCGTGTGTGCCGCCGCTGGAAGGAGCCCCTGCAACCGCCCAATCCCATGACCTGCCCAGAGGCTGGTCCCATGTGGGTCGAACCCGGCGCTGCAGCCGATGTCGGGGCTGCTGCAGACGCTGGTGGGCCCGGCCATTGCCTTGCCGCGACGCCAAGCCGTGTCCCACCTGGTCCTGAGCCTGCTCATCGTGTCCGTGGGCCTGAAGTCCATGCTGCAATTTCTGACCGTGGCCTTCCTGACGATGCTGCCGATTCCGGCCGCGTGTGCCGCGTAGCTGCTGGGGCCCCTGTGGATACGGAGCCCCAGGCAGCGGACAGGCGCCAGGCGTCTGATGACGGACGACGAACGACAGGCTGCTGAGGTCCAGCGTCAGCTGGTGTTAGTGCTTCGCGCTGATACCTAGCGCCAGGCGCCTGCCCTGCGCCGCGTCGCTGTGATCCAGGCGGCTGAGCGCAAGGTGGAGGACTGGCGCCTCGTGGCATGCGCGATCCACGCGGAGATCGAGCGCCTGACCAATACAGAACGCCCGGGCGATCTTTGCGCTGGCGGGATCATGGGGAAGACTGTGCTGCGGCCCCATGCCGTCCCCCTGCCGAGCACGCGTTACTATACCTTAGAGCTGGCTGGCCGAGAGGTGGAAGGTGGACGGCCTCATTTCGAAGTGGGATTTGAAAGTGTGCACTCTGGCACGACTGCCTAGCACTGGTAGTGTTCAGAAGCATGACGGCTTCATGGTCGTGACTGCTCGCGTAGCCGACGAGCACTTCTGCATGCATGTGCGATTGGGTGCGCCGTGGACCAGTACCCGTCGCCGCCCTTGTTCTCCGATCGCCTGCCGCTGATGTGGACAAAGTTCACGCTCAGCGGATCCAGGCGTCACGTCGACGGCCATGCACTCTGCAGCATTGTCTCACTGATGGACTTGGCTGCAGTGTTCATCAGAAGGAGGGCGGAGTAGAGATTTTGGCAGGGGTGGTGACAAAGGGGCTAAGTTTGTTGGTATCGGCCCATGACAGCGGATGCTCCCTCCCGCCCTCCCTCCGTAGCGATATCCCTCAACCCTCCTCCGATCTTGCCCTTTGTGAGCCTACGAGCCCGTGCGGGCACGATTCAGGGACAGAGAGCGGCAGCGGCAACCTCGACTCGTCCTCTGTTGTCGTCGCCTTAGATCTTCGTCGCGAGCGGAGGCTTCGAGCGAACGTGCCACGCTTGTTGATGAGCTCCATCGCTCGTCGCACATGCAAGCTTATGCAACATATGTGCACTGATGTGATGTTATCTTTCAATCTCTGTTGCAAATCCTGTATATAGTCATCGCACTTTTGCGCTGACATCGGCTGTATTGTTTGCTCCTTAAGCTGTCTTGGCTCCCTAGCATGCACTGCGCGTTGCGTACTACTTTAGACTGGCAGTCGCGACTATGGCCAGTCGGTTTGGCAATCCCGGAAATCCTGACGCACCACTCATGGGGAGGAGGGGTGATAAGGGATCCTCCTCGTCGTGCTGCTGATGCTGCTCCTCTCCCTGCTCCTCCTGCTCTTCCCCTCAGTGTTTTCCGTCTCCCTCCCCCCATCTCCCGCCTCTGCTGCTTCTGTCTGCCAACCGAACACGGTCCGTGCGTCATCACGCGTGGGCGCTGGGGAGGGGAAGCGGGACAGCATGCCGAGGACGAACGAACGACGGCCCAAGGGCGGCCGCCAGCTATGACCGCGCCCTGCCGGCCAGTCCTGCGCAGCACCCTCGGTGTGCCTGGCGCCAGCCCGCCGGCCAGCCTTTGACCTCAGTCAGCCGCCAGAGCTGGGCTCCCCGCGCGTCAAACCACCGCCTCCATCGCCACGGCAGCTGCAGCAAATTAGCCTGGCGAAGGACGCAGTCATTTGCAGTTGTGAGTAACTCAGTTGTGAGCATCGTCTTCCGTGGAGCTCCAAATGGCGCCACAACACGCGTGAGGAGTGTACCGACGGGTCGAAAATGTGCGAATTGTGCTACTGGGACCTTCGATGGAAGTCCCCATGGGGCCACGAAGCGTGTGAGAAGGCGTGCCGAAATGGGTGGCGGGGACGCATGCGGACGGGACCATTGGGACCCTCAGTGGGGCTCACTGTGGGGCCACGACACGTGAAGGGTGCGCCGACATGGGCGGCGGGGGCGCATGATCCGCCAAGAATTCAGTATGTGACCGCGAAGCAAGTAAGGTGTGCCAGAATGGGTAGCGGGGGCGCATGCGGGCATGCACCATTTGGGCCGTGGATGGAGCTCCCGATGGGGCCACGAAACTCGTGAGGGGTGTACCAAAATTGGTGGCGGGAGCGCATGCGGACGGCACCGTTTCGGCTTTGGGTGGAGCCCCCCATGGGGCCACGAAACGCGCGAGAAGTGAACCGACATGGGCGGCGGGCACGCATGCAAACGGCACCATTTGGGCAGTTTCTGGGGTTCCATCTTGGGCCACAAAACGTGTGAGGGGTGTGCAGGAATGGGTGGCGGGGGGGCGCATGCGGAGTCGGGCCGCTTCTTGGGTGTGTGCCGAAATAGGCGGCGGGGACGCATGCGGGCGGCACCATTTGGGCCTTGGATGGGGCCCCTATGGGGCCACGACGTGTGTCAAGGGTGCGCCGAAAAGGTGCGGCGTGGACACACGCTGGCGGCACCGTATGGGCGGCGGATGGAAGCCCTCATGGGGCCTGGAAACATGCGAAACGCGCGCCGAAAATGGTGGCGGGGACGCATGGGGGAGCCACCATTTGGGCATTGGGTGCGGTCCCCCATGGGGGTCAAAACGCATAGTGGATGTGCCGAACTGGGTGGCGTGGGCGCATGCGTGCAGCACCATTTTGGCCGTGGGTGGAGCTCCCCATCGGGCCACGAAACGTGTGATGGGGTGTGCCGGAAGTGGCAGGGACGCACGCGGGCGGCACCATTTGGGCCTTGGGTGGGTGTCCCTATATGGCCACGAAATATGTGATGGGTGTGCCGAAAGGCGCGGCGTGGACGAATGCTGGCGGCACCATGTAAACCTTTGGCGGGGCTCTTTATAAGGCCACGAAGCGTGCGATGGGTGTGCCGAAATGGTTGATTGGCGCGGAAAGCAAAGGCAAGGATGGGAGGAGGAAGGAGCGGGAGGAAGGGGAGGAGGTGGAGCGAGCGTCCACTGGAGGGGATGGATAGTTGGTCACGGGCGCCCGCACGGCACCGAACCACCCACTAGGCATAATGGAAGCCCCGGGGCTCGACGCGAGGCGGCCGCGGCCGCGGCGTTCTTCTTGAACTGGTCGGAGTTCGGAGCGGCCGCGGCCCTGATCTCGATGATGGAGATCGGGTCGGGGGTCATCGCGTTCTGGATGCGGAGGAAGTCGTGCGCCTTGGCCGACACCTCCAGGCGCGCGAAGGCGTAGCGAATATATTTCTCGCTGTCTTGGATCTCGCCGTCGAAGCCCATGCGGGTCAGGATGTTGTCAGAGACTATGCCGCGAGGCTGGCAGACGTGCGGCCACTTTCTCGGGCACGTGAGGTAGTGCGATATGTCATCGATGTTGCGCTTGCTCTCGCTGGTGGAGCAGCCAGGCAGGCAGTCGCGGTTATG